TGGGCGGACTGTTACGCAGACAGTGGCATTGGCACATTTGGGGCCCGAGCACACCGCTGCTTCAGTGCTGGCAGGCCCCATGCAACCGAGATCCCACAGCTGCTGGGGAGAAACCACTTTTGCAAAGGCATCCGGTGCTCAGCACAGTGGAGCATCCCTCATGCGTGCCTTACCCTGCTCATGCGTATCCCAGTGCCTCTGCAGCAGCCCCAGGACTCAAGGCCCTACTGTGTGTGCAGCATTGCCAGGGCAGCAGAAGTGAGAGCCAGTAACGGTCCTTTTGTTGCTGAGCACAGTGCCCTGGGACCTCTCCCCAGCACAGCGCCCCCCCACTGCCAAACTGCTTGCTGTAGTCTGCCAGGGCTTAGGCCAGCAGCAGAGTATGGGGACCAGACTTGCACTCACCAGGGTGCTCCAGGCATGTGGCTGTAATTATTGGCTACATCAAAAAAAAGCCAACAACATAATTTCTTCTTTTATTGGTCCCGATCCAATAGCCAACCAATATATTGGTGCGCCCCTAATTGAAACCATGAATCTTTCTCTACAACAGCAATTCCCAATCTGTGGTACACATACCACCAATGGTATGCAGACAGCTTGTCAGTGGTATGTGTTAGCAGATTTATTATTAATCTGTTTAATAATCTGTGTAATTAATTCTTACTTTATATGACAAAAATTTGGTGGCGGTGCTTAAGGTCATATCATTTTAAATTGGTGGTGCGCAATCTGTCAGAGTTTGGGAACTGCTGCTCTACAAGATGAATGTTGGGATCAGATTTCAGACTTATCAAAGCAATACTTTTTATAAATCAGCATTGTAGCAATAGCAGTCTCAGGGAATTTGAAAACAATCACTGTAATAATGACTTCCATGTACTAATAGTGTGAGGCATTCAGATACTATGAAGATGGGAGCCATAAGTTCCGAAAATGGAAATCAGTAAATCACTGTTTGGTTGGTGCTTGAATAGTTTCTTGTTGTCTACTTTTCTAATTAAGATGCATTTTGTAATTTTTCACGGATTCTCAAAACTGCATTTGCTTTTATTTTGCACTGACAGAACAGTTTACTGAGAATGGAAGTAATATTCATCTGTGGGAATTTTTCTGTATCTTCACAAATATTTTAATACATTTTACAGTGTACGTGCAGTTTGTTTTTCTAGGCTTCCAACTTGTATAATTTGTGACATGATTTGTGATACATCTAAATTTTAAAAACAAGCTGTGTTTGGGCTCTTCTTTACTGGATTGGTACCTCATCCGTCAACATTAGATCGCAGCTGTAATCAGAAAAATAACTATATAATATAGATCTCCTTTCACTTACATGATAGCTATATTCTTTTTACAACCCAGAAAAAAAGACTAATTTCAAATTATATTCTTTTTATAATCCAAGCCAACCACTCTCCCACAATTTCCTGTGCCTTTTCTTCAGATAAGAATCACAAAAGGATTGCAATCTGAAATTACTAGAAAACAATGCTGAATAGACTTGTCAGCTTCTTAGGGTAAGTTAACCTGCACTGAGCTCCATTTCTGATGCCTGAATTAGCTCAGTTAAAAGGTGATTTAAGTAACTTGACAGTCTCCAGTGCAAACATTATGTTATCAATATTTGATCACTGAAGACTTCCATATTTCTATCTACCCTGCTTGATTATAAAATTTTTTCCCTGACAGTGTGTCAGTAAATTTGAAAGACTCCTATTCTAATAAGTTGTCATGCATGCCAGTCTATTTCAGAAACAGCACTGTCTGTTTAGAGTAGGGCTACTCCAGGAACTAGGTACCAATATGTTCGTTAGCAGGCCTGTGCAAATAGGGAAGTATTCAAATTTGGATTCAGCTGATTCGGAGGACAGTGATGAGATTCGGATCACTGTCCTGAATCGATTTTTACCTAATCGGCTTCAGGAGATTTGGATTGGCTGGGGAGAGGCAGGCACAGCTGGGCAGCTGCAGGTTCTCCCATGGCTCCTTCAGCTGTGCCAGGCTCCGGCTGACTACTGTAGCTGCCCAGGCTCCCAGACAGTGTGTGGCACCCTTCTGAGCCGTGCTGTATCTGTGCCATGAAGGGGCTCTGCCACAAGCCCTCAGAGACCCTGATCACTTCTGCCAGAGCCGGTGAGTGCAGGGATATATATCTTTTTTTTTTTTTTTTTTACATGGTGCCAAGAGGCTGGGCTGGGCTGGGCAGGGGATGGGGCCAGGCAGGGTAGCCATGGGGGCTTCTCCCATGGTTCCTCTGGCTGTGCCTGTCTCTGCCTTGGCAGGGGGAGCTGCAGGAGTTCTTCCCTGCTGCCACTTTCCCAGCCGGTGCGGGAGGGGGAGGCGAGGCCCAATGCAGGTGCGACGCACTACGGGTGGCAGCAGGGCACAGCCCCCACTCCCAGTGCTACCGTGCCCACATCAGTGCTGGGAGCGGGGGCTCTGCTCTGTCCCCGTTTGCCAGCCAGTGCAGAGGTAATGAAATGCGGGTGCGGCAGCGCTGGGAGCAGGGAGTCTGCCCTGCTGCTGCTTGCCCCTTCTGCGTAGAGCGAGCCGTGCCTGCATCCTGTGGCCCCCCTCCCCTCCTCCTCCTTCCCCAGCTTGACAGCTTGTCCCAGTCCCAATCCCTCCCTCCCCCACATGCCTTCCCTCCCTCAGCCCTAACAGACTTACCAGCTGGAGGCAGCTGTCAGCTGCCTGTTTAGTCTATGGCCGAATCTCCGAAGTGGCTGAATCTTTTCTGAATCAATTTGGATGCTTCAAATTGATTCAGAGATTTTCGTCTCCCAATTCAATTTGGATTTGGAGATTTGGTCCCCAAATTGGGCCGAATCACCTCCAAATTGAATTGGCTATTGAAGCTTCGCACAGTCCTATTCTTTAGCTGCCAAAAGATGAGCTCGTATGTCAAGGTTAATGTTAATACACACTACAGACTGACTGAGGAAAATAGCAGATGGTAGAAACATTGGGTTGTTTGTTTGTTTGTTTATCTCAATATCAGTTTAGAGGTACATGCCTGAGGCTATTTACAGGGTGACTTAAGATTTTCATTTTAAATATTAACCTTTATCACACAAATCAGATGGAAGGTTGTTAAACGTACTAGTGATTTGGATCATCTGTTTCATTAAAATGCAATGTCAAGAATGGTTTGATATTAAACTGACTCATACCTTTATTTTAATAGTTACTTTTCTAAAACCCAGTTGTGATTATGTAACTTAATCTGAAGGTCAGTATCCTAAGTCTGTGGGCACAGGATTCCATGCTTAAGCCTGTTAGGTAGGGTAGCACTGTTATTAAAAGTTGGAGCCAGAGAGAGGGAAACAGATCCTCATTTTCTTTAACCCTAGTGCTGATGATGTCAAATAAGATTCCAAATTATCCTCTGGCTGCTTCAGCTTGGGGTGATATTACTTAGCCCCTTTCATAAATAGTAACAGATCCTGAAGAAAAGGTGTCAGAGGATATATAGGAGCCAGTAGCATAGCACTGAGAACTTTTTTGGCCCTGATTCATGAATAAAGAACTGCATTTAAACCCCATACCTATTTAAGCAAGAATTTAGGGACTCACCTCAATAATGACCTTAGAAAACCTACTAACCTATAAAATTACTTGACCATAAATTCCAAGATGGTTTTATGGCATGTGTACCTAATTATTTGAGCTACTAATCTGCTGAAGCTAATTAAAAAGGTCAGAAGTCCTTCCCAAGTCTAAGAGACCACTGGGGCCAGCCTGGTTAAGGTACACCAATTTCTGTAGCCAGCAGTACACAAGGACATGGTGTGGGTATCATCATGTCTGGGCACCTTTGACCTCACACCTTGCACAGCCAGGGACCTGTTAATTATTGCATTAGCTGGTGGCATCCTTAGGCACAAATCCAGAGCAGGGCTAATTCTTATAGCTATGAAACCATAATAACATGGTTTAACCACTCTGATCCGGGCCTGTAACATAGCAAATAGTCCTAGCAAAAAATAAAAGCTAGAACATCAATGTGACCTAGTGCACATCAGTTCACTAAAATGGATGTGATCCTTCAAAACATGTACTAGATTTCATGTTAAGTGTCTTTGTTGTTTTGGGATTTTCCTTACATTATAAAAAAACCCTCAACCATCTAAGAGTCTCAACAACATTTATTGTAATTTTCAAAACTATAGTGGTCAAAAATATCCAAGTTTTCCCATTCTGTAAAACTAAAGGTTTTAATCAATTCTGGAAGGACATTCAATTATATTTAAAAAAAAAAAAAAAAAAAAGAGAGAAAGAGAGACAGGAACACCCGTTAGTCTTTGTCATGTATTTCCCGGATTGGAAGACGCAGGTGTAGGGGCTGACGCAGGCGTCTTAGGGATTCTTCAGCCTGTGAACACAAGAGAATTAAACAGATGTTTTTCTTCCCTGCATTAATTCCTTCATTATCCCTTATTTTCAGCTTCATTTCACGCTTTCGACATCACTTTTTCCTAGCCAGGGCTCTGCTTTCCCAGATGCTAACCTTATGCCACAGATTTTTCTATAAGAATCACAAATGTATTGTCCTGATCCTAATACTCTTAAGGATTAACCTTTTAGAAGCCATTCCCACGCAGACTGACCAACAGAAAGTGTGCTTAGATAGATGCAACCAGTATCCTTCTAGGAGACTGAACATGTATCTTCTGCACCATGCTCTATCACCTGTAGCTGATGAAGTGAAGCCCATTTTTTCCAACAACTGGACAGAAAATGACACTTTACATGTAAGAACACAGTTGCAAAATTCTCCCCACAGAAGGTTACTGTCAAGTAGTAAAAATATCTTAAGCTGTAGCTCAGATAAGAGTTGTTTTCATCTTACCCTGTTATCTATTAATGAATTAATTTGATTGCTTTTTTAAAAATTGGTTTTAATGTGGTTAAATTTTCTTCTTAGGTGTCCAGCACATATAACAGCCTCATTTGAAGCAACAGTAACAATCTGAACATGCTAATTTTTTGGGAATGAGACATTCTGGTTTCCATCCAAAAACAACTTTGAAACAAACTTGTTACAAACTACAAATCTAAGAAATAAGAATTTCATTTCTTTTCCGACACAATAAAATGTGAAAACTAAACATCTGAATAAATATAGATAAGAAATTATGTAGGTTAACATGCATCATTCTAGAGCATCTTCCAGCCTAGCAAGAATACCAGATATAGTGGAAAGGCTTTATTTAATTGCAAACCAAAAAGAAAAAAAATAAGGAAATTACTGATAAGTACAAATGTTAAAGAAGATGATAAATTAGTTATACTGGGGTTTTTGCATGCTGCCTTTATTCAGTCTACCTCTGAATATGCGTAAATTACATCTAGAAGCTACTTTCTACTTGGCTCATGGTTTAGTAAGGATTATTAAATGGTGAAACAACAATGGCATTGACTGTCCGCAAGGTATGCACGTACCTCTGCCAGATCCTCTTTTAATTTGTTATATTGCTCCACATCGAAATACTGGCTTTTGGATTTCCTGTAGAAGTAGTGAAGGAATTGTCTGTCTTTAGCATCTGGGTAAACATAGTCCTGAGGTAAAGAAAAAATGATGCAGGTGTTTGAATGTATGGAGGTTGGTAGAGAGAAATATTAAAATGCAGGCAAGTTTTATTATTGAAATCACTCTTTTTGTATGAAGATAATCGAGTTAAAATGCCCTCATAATCCTATAGAAGTTAGAAAAAATTAAACAAGTGTGTGGCCTGATTTTAGGAGTGCTGAGTACCAATAGCTGCCATTGGGGTCAGAAGGTGGGATTTTCAAAAGGTGCTGGAGGGAGCTGGGCTCAGAATTCCTTAAGGTTCTTGTGAACATCCCAGACAAGGCTAAGTATTAATGAAAATCAGACTGGTAGCATCTAGAGTGGCTTACCCAGAGAAGAGAAGTAGGTTTTCCTTTTTGAGTGTCAACAGAAAAGGAGGGGGGTTAGAACTTTCAGTCAAAACCAGCCGAGCAACAACAGGTTTCTTCTTACCGCAAGACCCTGACATTTCACATGTTTTGCATATTCTCTCAGTAACCCAAGATGCAAGCAAGTGTTGGATATTCTCCAGTTGTGTCCACACCCAACAACAAAAAACTATTGCATTATTGATTGGGAGATTTGGTCCCCAAATTGGGCCGAATCACCTCCAAATTGAATTGGCTACCGAAGCTTCGCACAGTCCTATTCTTTAGCTGCCAAAAGATGAGCACGTATGTCAAGGTTAATGTTAATAACCTTAATAATTAATAATGTTAATGTTCAAGAGCAAATTGGATGCTTGTCTTGCTGGGATCCTATGACCCCAGCTGACTTCCTGCCCTTTGGGCAGGGGGCAGGACTCGATGATCTTCCGAGGTCCTCCCTTCCAGCCCTAATGTCTATGAAATCTATAATACACACTACAGACTAACTGAGGAAAATAGCAGATGGTAGAAACATTGGGTTGTTTGTTTGTTTTTTTTATCTCAATATCAGTTTAGAGGTACCTGCCTCAGGCTATTTACAGGGTAACTTAAAATTTTAAATAAATATATATATTGAATATACAGAAACAAAAGGAAGATTTGTGATCCACTATAGAGGCCCAGACATAAACAAGAAACAAAGAGGTTTTTTAAACTTTGATGACTATTGTCCATATTCTACAGCTTGTCCAAGTGCTGGGTTTTTGCTATTTAAGAACATTTCCGCAGTCTTCCAGCTATCTCTCATTACAATTCCAGTGATCTCTCCTCTCCACATCCAAAAGCAGTAAAAATAGGTGGGCCACAAAGGGAGAAAAAAAATGCAACATGCTCAAGTAGATGTGTTTCAGTTGAAACACCTGAAAATTTCCAAACGCTTCGACTTCCTGGATCAAAAGACGAACATCAGCAAAAAGATGTGTTTTTTTGGCATCATTACCAGACTATACCCCTTTAGTAGGTCAGTGTGCTTACTGTACATTCTGTAGCAAAGTCTGAAATACAATTACCACCTGGGCCAAGTACCAGGAGTCAAAGAAAATGGGCAAGGCGGTTCTTATTCTCATTGTAATGTCATTAAATGTAATCATGATCATTAAATATAACCAAAGTTTTTAAAACAGTTCAGGTCAGGACCTGACCCTTGAAGAACAGGAAGTATCACACAGCTGAAAAAACCCTCTACTGTTATCCAGATATCCAGGTGCTTGTGCCAAACTTACATTGAACAAGAAATTGAACCTGAATACAATTCTATACAACAGGTGTACTGGCTTCGAGGTTTGGTCTTCACAATAAATCTCCCATGTAGTATTAATTCAGATGTATTCATATAATGGGATTTACCTGCTTAGTAAGTACAAAGTAAGCATAGAAGGCCATGGCACTCCCGTAAGTGATGAAGTATGTGACTGGCTCCATTATATCCCAGGAATAGACCCACCATGTGAACCAGGCCAGGGCTCCACCCTGAGTGGACATTAGTGCTAAGCCAATCCACAAGAGCCTTGAGGTCTTTGCATCTGCACTTTTTGTGATTCCAGCTTTCATCTACAGGAAAAAGAAAGATCTCTGTCCAACTAGAACATCACCATCATAATGAATCAGTTGTTCTGAAGCAAAGCAAACAATGCATTTTAATAACTCTTCTCCCACTGTATTCAGAACTCATCTGTTAGGCTAAGTACAGACAGTCAAAAAGCATAAGGCTAAATTGATTCAGTCTTCACAGATTCGTCTAAGCTGCAGACTGAACCAATAAGCAAGTGAACAGATATTCATTTTTGATTCTGGAAATGCAGCCGCATGCCTCCAGTGGCCCAGGCCAGAAGCCAGGGGATACTAAAGCACGTCTCCTGGCTCAGCTGGAGCAGACAGCTTGGACCCTGCAAGGGAGGGGGGAGGGGAGGAGGGAGGTACAAAGCAGCCTGGGATGCTGGGGGACTGTGACAATTTGAATCTGGAGGGGATCTGGGACATCAGTTCAATAAATCAATTTAACCTAAATCAGTTAAAGTCTGATGCTATATCCCATCCAGGTTTATCGTAAACTGGTTTGGGCCATTTTGAAAGCAGTTTATGTGCACTCAACTTCTGTTGTGTTACAGATCTGAACCAGTTTCGCATCACTTGTACCAGTTTCTGTTTTCTTTCCCTAGACTTAAAGGCTTTACCTGCTCAGAGAGAATTTGGTTTATTGTGGGCATGTCTACTAGGCCTGTGTGAAGTGGCTAGTATTCGCTTTGGATTCGGCTGATTCGGAGGACAGTGATCCGGTTCCGTGATTCAAACCACTGTCTCAAATTGATTCGGCCAAATCTGATTTGGAGATTTGGCCGCTGCCGAATCAGCCAAATCTCCAAATCAAACAGGCCCCATCCCCTGCCTGCTCTCCTAGCCCCGTGAATGGCTGCCCCCGCCTGGCCCCAGTGTCCTGACTCTTTAAAAAAAAAAAAAAAAAAGAAAAGAAAAGAAAAAAGCCCTGCACTCACTGGATGCTGCCAGGCAGGGATGTGATCCCTGCTGCCTCTCACTGCATTGGGGGGGGGGGGGCCTCTGTTATGAGCCCCCAGAAGCCCTGACGGCCAGTGTAGCAGCTGGTGAGTGCAGGGTTTTTTTGTTGTTGTTTTTTTTAAAAGAGCAAGGATGGTGGGGCCAGGTGGGGCAGCCATTGACAGGGCCTGGAATGGGGGCTTGTGGCAGAGCCCCCCCACACAGTGCGGGGCAGCAGGGATCAACCCCCCCCCCC